TGGTTAACATTATATCCCGCAGTTACTAGACTTATTGATCACATCCAACCACTTAAAGCATACTTCATAGCCTTGGGTACGGATGATTGTCATCAAATTATTTGGGATTTTGTGTGGTCAGACAACTCTAATAAAATAATCATTAATGAACTGTATTTACATTTTTCATCTCATTTAATGAAATTATTTTTTGATAATATTAAGTTATTAGAAAAAAGCGATACAAATGCTACAAATCTATTCGATATTATGAGTAAATTGAAAACACAATTACAAAATAGATTAGATAATAAATTTTTTAGTATTTTTGTAAGAGATAATATAACAAAATTAAATATTAATGATAAAAGTGAATTTATTAATAATTGTAAAATTGTTTACACACGTGCAATTCAATATTTGTGTAATCATTTTGATTTTAATGATTCACCGTACCGTCTATTTTCAAAATTAAATTTGGATCAAAATTTAAATTATGATAATATTGTTAATATAGCAAAAATAATGAATATTGAGATTAATTTTGATGATATTTTTGATGAAATTAATTTATTTAATGTTTATTTAAATAAACTAGATTATAACATCAAGTCATTAAATAATATTAAAATTTATTGTAACATATTTTCAAATATTAATTTACCTAATTTACTTAAAATTATTGAATCAATATTATGTATACCAATTAGTAATGATTTTGTTCGTTCGAAGCGAACATTCAGTTTAATGAGAAAAGTTTTAAGAGATGAGAGATCTCATATGAATTTACAATTAATTAAATCAGAGATTTGTATTAAAACAAATTTTTCATTAAATTGTCAAGAATTTTATGATTATATAAAAGATAATAATGATATATTGAAATCTGTAAAACATTGGAAAAATTAATAAAATATATTTAATTTTAATTAATATCTATAATTATTTATACAGGTTAAAATACAGGTTTGAATAAAATATATACAGGAATTAACAGGTTAAATATATAAAAATCTTATGGTTATACAGGATATTAATAAAAATGGTGGTCAGTCTAACTGTAGTGTATGTTTTGCAATACAAAGTTTACATACAGTATAACACTTAATATAGTGTGAAGTTTGCATACAATATACTGGACTTTAAATTGCTTTTAAATTACACTATAAATTATTTATTTTTCAAAAAATCATTTAATATTACTGGACATTTTATGTCCAGTGATAATCAACTAGTATATATTATTTTTATTAGACAATTATGCTAACTTCTATAATAAATTAAAAATTTATAAAAAAAACCAGTTAAGAATGCTAGAAAGCATTTTTAGAAAAAAAACTTGAATAACATTGAAAACTATTAGTTTTATAATTATAGCGGCTATATAATAACATAAAAATTTAAAAACTGGTCAAATATACATAATATAAATATTGTAATGTATGGTATCAAATGATTCAGTATGACAAAATAAACAACAATAGTCATGTGGGGTATCAAATGATTTAGTATAACAAAATAATAATCTATAATTATACATTTGCCGCTTATACTTATTCTTTTTGTTCCCGTAGATATCAAAATTTAATGCATATTTTTTATCCTTGTTTTTGATTCTTTCTTCAAATTTATATTTTAAAAAAATTCTTAAAATTTTTTATACTTTTGCCGCCATTTTTAAAAAAAATTATACTGATATATTATATCATATTTTTGATACTCTTTACAATTCTAAACGTTAAAATTTTTACCTAATTTTTTTTACTTTGGCCGCCATTTTCTTTATGTTCCCGAAGAGATATCAAAATTTTAATGTATATTTTTTATTCTTGTTTTTGATGCTTTATTCAAATCTATACTTAAAAAAAATTTTCTTAAAATTTTTTTTACTTTGGCCGCCATTTTGTCTATGTTCCCGAAGAGATATCAAAATTTTAATTAAACTTTTCAATACATTATTAGTAGTCCTCTAACCGAATCTGAAGTCAGAATTTCAAAATTCGCAAAATGAAATGCTACACACACACACACACACACACACTAAAAAGGCTCATATAGATTTCAGAAAACAAAACTTTTCAAAAGTTTTTTTTGAATATTACTGTATTATATTAGTTAGTGATAAAATTTTTGCAAAAAAAATAATTTAACCGACAAATGATTTTTATATAATGCAAAGTTACATGAAATGAACATAAAAGAGTAGATAATAAACGCCATAATATATTTGATAACATTTTTAATACATTTTATAAACTATTTTTTAGTTTTGTTTTTAACAAACATTTTAAGTTTGTTTTTTTTGTTTTGTTATTATTGTTTCTTTTCTTTAAGTAAAAAATTGCTGTCCTTTCAAATAACATAATAAATACAGTACTGTATATACAATAACAATAACAACAATATATATATATATATATATATATAATTTTTAAAAATGTGTTACAAAAAAAATCAAAGTCAAAGATTCCTCAAATAAAAGTATAAATAGTAATAATAATAATTTCAAAAATTTAAGCCATAATTAAGTAGTAATGCTAATTTATGCTGAAATAACATAGCTTTAAATTAAAATTGAAAATATAACAATACATTTTTAGATTTGAATTAAAAATATGGTTGTTGATGAAATGTGCACACATACAGACAGAGACTATTATTTTAAAGTTTTATCTTGATTTTGATTATACCTAATTTTTTTAATTTTTAATTTTTAATTTTAAATATTTTAAATATTTTAAAACATAATTTAATTAATTTCTATTGTTTATTTTTCATATTAATTTTTTTATCCAATTTATATCACATTCGCGTTTGTTTTGTTTATTTTTAGGTTTTATTTACTGAAATCTACAGTATATGTAATTCTCTGTTCTTAACTTTTTTTTACTTATTTGGATTGATCTCGACTTTTGTTGATTGCATTACATTTAAATGATTTTTTTTTTGATAACAATAAGCGCACATTCATACCAACACTTTCAAAACAAAACATTAAAAAATTTTAATAAGCAATAGAAATGACAATAAAAAATGCCTATAAATACATATAATCATAATAATTTTTTTTTAATTTTTGCAATTTAAAAAAAAATTATTATATTAAATAATTGAATATAATGTGATTTTTAATAATTTATATTTTTTGCTATTTATTAATTAATTTTTATAATAATTATTATCAATGTTAAAATACTTAATATATATATATATATATCAGGGTTAAGCAAGGTTTTGGATTTTAGGGGGGAGGGTAGACCGGGGTAAAATTTACAAAATTCTCGAAAAATCTTGGGGGGGGGGTTATTGGATGGGGTAAGATTTTTATTGCATTTTTAAACAGCAATTTTTTCAAAAATCCAAAATCAAGGGGGGGGTCAAGAGAAAATTCCCTAAAAATTCCTTAAGTTCCCGAATATTCCCATGTAAATTCAATAAAATTCCCATAAGTTCCCGTATAAGTTCCCGGGAAAATAGGTAAAATTTCCAAAAATATAAAAAAAAACTTAAAAATTAACAAAAACTTAAATTTTAACAAAAAATAAATATTTTATTTTTAAAATTTAAAAATTAATAAAAACACATTTTAACAAAAAATAAAATAATGTATTTAAGATTTAAAAATAGTTGATAAAAGCATTAATGATACACTATGAGTTATTTTTAGTATTTTAATAATTTTTAACTTTTAACATAATTAATTATTTAAATAATACTTAATGTTCATAGTTTATATATATAATTTTATTTTTTAATGTTATTTTTATATAAATACTGACTGAATACTAATTATTAAATTCAAAATTTTTAATATTTTTTAGTTTAATATTTTAATTAAATTATGTTATTTTTTCATGAGTTTTAACGTTATTTTAACTATTTTATTTATTTTTAATCAATAATTAGATTCATATAAATTTTAAAAACATATAAACATTAAAAACACTAAAATTAAAATTTTTTAAAACTTCAAAAAATTTTCGGCGCCGAAATTTTAAGGGGGGGGTCATTTCTCCTCGTTTTTAAGCGACATTTTTTCCCATTTGGTCAAAAAGTCTGGGGGGTAAAATCCCAAAATCTCGATCTTAGGGGGGGTATTTTGGCCATACCCCGCCTACCCCCCTTACTTAACCCTGATATATATATAAATATATTTTACGTTATGTATGGTTGTCTATGTGTTACCAATTACATGATGTAATCTATCGTATAATAAACTATACAATTGTTTGTATGAAAGTGTTGGTATGAATGTGCGCTTATTGTAATACAATATTTTATATACTTATAATTATTACTATAAATTTTTATAAAAACAAACATTTTTTAATCATTTGTTACTTACTGTATTGTTTGGTCAGTTATTAAAAACTATATTAGTTAAAAATTTATTTATAATTTATTTTAAAACAATTTTTATAAAATACATTAAATAATGATCGTAAATATACATAAATATAAGCTAATTTAATGGTCATAACCGGTAAATATTTAAAAATTTATTTAAATAAATATATAAATTTATTTATCTATATTTAATAGTATCTATATATAGAATAAAATTGAGAATTTAAAAATATTTATAATATTTAATCATAAAAACAACATTTAGTTTTAATAACAATTCACATAAATAATCAATTATTTGATTTAATAATTATCGTTAAAATTGAAATAACATTCAATCAAATTGTTGCCAACTGTTTGTCGCTTTAGTATCGGTTGACATGAGATTATTATTTGAAGTATTGTTTATCTGTTGTGACGACCAGTTAATCATTGACGACAAGAACTGATTTTGTTTGCTGTTTATAAGCGCCGAACCGTTGCAGTCGGAGGTCATAGTGTTGGCAGTTTGTGCGGTCACTGATGGCATTTGACCGACAATTTCAAAGCTATTTGTCGTTTGATTCTGACTTTGACTATCATTCAGAAGAAATGGATTAACAAGACTTGACTTTGCTGTCACTGGTGTCGCAAATGATGACAAACTTAATCTCAAATCATTTAAATTATTATTAGTATTATTAGTGGCGAATGAATTCCAATTATTCCTAAGAGTCTGAAAATCAAATGTCTTACTCTCAGATGGTTTGTCTTCAAGCAACGGATCAAATATGACATTAGAGTCGTCATCTGGAGGAGTGTCCAACTCTATCAGCGATTCTTCTTTATTAGTCTCTGGCTTTGATTTGCGCACCAAATGACTTCTTGGAGGCGGAAGAGGTTTTGTTATGAATGGCATTGCATTTGTTTGTAAAGAGCTGTTGCAACTGCTTTGGCTTTGAATTGATTTATTAGATTTACTGCTATTCGTTGATTCATCCGAAGACTTTTTGTGAAGAAAATCTTTGAGTTCGCCCATCAAATCGATTTCGATTCTATCGAATGTTAACATATCGTGCGAGTGCTCGGAATCGACATCAGAAGCTTCAGGTGATGCCTCGGGAGCCATACTATTAACCGAAGATAAACATGTTTTGGAAGTAACACTCGAAAGACCACTGTTTACAGACAATGATTTAGAAAAACCATTTTGCAAACCACTTGTTATCGGTTTGTCATTATTATCACCAATAAGTGTATTCCTTTGTCGAACATAAGTAATTGTTTTGTCAGTCTTTCCGATAACATTACCGCTGACACTCTTCTTGATATTCGATGGTTTCATTGGTAGAGTAGGACTGGACGGTGCACTCGACGGTTTGTGTACCTTATATGATGAAGACTTGTGAGTATTGTCGGCATAACTATACGCTTTGTTTTCGTTGTTTTGTATTTTAGTCTTAAGGTCTTTATACGCCCGACGACTCTTGTCTTTGACCTGTTTGTAAGCAGATCTCATAACAGGATTGACATTCTTAAGTATGGCTCCGCCTTCCTTACGCATCGCACCCAACCATTCCTTGTACTGAGTCTTCAGCCGATGAGTACTCTTCTCTTCATACATATTGACCTCAAACTCAAACTCATCGCTAAAACCTTCGCCATTATTGAGCATTTCTAGTCGGCCTTCAATAAACTGACGAAATATCTGCAACTGAAGCATCTTTTCGAGGAATGTTTGAACTGATGGCGAACGGGAAGACACAAACGCCTCGTAATTAAAGCTAATTTTCTGGCCGGGAGTAAACCGAAGCGCATCTCTATAGGCGCCAATCAGTGACACCAATGCCCGTAGAAAAGATCGGGCGACCGAATCGCCTAACATTGAGGACATGGGATTACGCAAACTCTTCTTCAATGTGTGAACCTATTGTTTAAGAATATAAGCTATTAATAGCTATAAAATTAATCATTTTGTTTGATAACATACGACATCAGTGGGAAGCATATGGATGTCATCAAATGGCGAGTCTATCCGATTATCATCGCAATCAAGTATCACAATGTCTCCCAATTCAGATCGTTTCACGCGATTCATAATCACAGCGGGAACTCCAATAAGGAATGGCATGGGAGCGCTCAGGTAGTCGAGCAAATGTTTGGGTAACACCGGTATGAATATATGCTGCCAATGCATCGGATAGATTAACGAGTTGGCCGCCTGAACACATGCAGACAGACGGCTCAACTTCTTGGATGTCATTATAATACGCCTCTCATTCAACATATTAGCAAATATGACGATCATATTCATAGCATCGATGGCATTGAAATACTCAGTTAGATTGCGATCTTCGGGTATCGAAGGCATCTTATGGTGATCGGGACACGCAGTGGTGAACTCCAATATCTTATTATTGTCACAATAGGTCACATTGAGCTGTAGACCGGGTTGGGGAATGTCGGCGACATAGACGGCCTCTAAGAACTTCGATAATAGTATGCCATCGGCGGCACTCGTATTGTTGGTCAGTTCAGCGCAATGGTTGAGCACACGGAAGAATGTCGAGTGCCACGGAAGGTATGACAACATAACCAGACAGGTATGACCTCTGGGCGCGTGTCGACAGAAGCCGAATGTCCACTTCGAGTCAATGTTGGTCAACACAAATGAAAAGTGTGTAACTGTTTCGATGTCCAGTGGACACGGATAAGCAAATTGTGGCACAGATTTCAGTATCTCTTGCTGTGAGTATGAGTCCGGATATTTCTGAAGTATAAACGGTTGATCAGTGGTGGCCGTCGACGGACACGCAATCTCCAGATAACACTCAAACAGATGACAAATGTCACCGAAACACATCATACGTGAGCCCATTGAGTACAAGAATTAACTGGCACTTCGGTAAACCCGATGACCACTAATGATAAACAAAAAACATGATTCAAATAACTTGATTATCACTGTTGATGATGACTGATGTGATCATCAATTGTTCAGACATTTATAACTCTATATCTGTATATCATATGTTTGTTTGTTATGTTGTGTTATGTCGTCAATGAATGACAATAATTGTGTTACAAAAATATTTAGTATTTAATTATTTGAATTAAATATTAATAAATGTTTTATCAATTTAATAAAATTTTCTAAAAATATTTTTAACGATATTTAATAATTCAATTAATTAATTATTTAATTGAATTGATAGTAAAACTATAAATTTATATTGTTTTTAAGATTAAATAATATTAGAGTTGGGGCAACTTTCCCAGGGAGGGAAGTTCCCTAATAAAATCCCTTAAATTTATATATATATTTAATTTTTAAATATTTATCGGTTTTAACGATTAAATTTGCTTATATTTATGTATATTGATTATCATATAATGTATTTTATAAAAATTGTTTTAAAATAAATTATAGTTAATAGTTGTTGTAATGAATGACCAAACAATAAGTAACAAATTATTTTTAAAAAATGTTTGTTTTATTAGTTTTATAGTAATAATCAAATTATCAGAAAATGTTAAAAATATGGATTATTTTTTATATGTCTTTTGGAAATCAATCATAAATTGGCGCAAAACTTGTGTCTCTTCGACAGTCATTGCATTGAAAAGCGATGCTCTGATACCACCAACAGATCGATGACCCTTCAGTTGGATCATACCCTTAGCCTTTGCCTCGTCGACGAACCGCTTCTCCAGATCGGTATCACCTGACTTACCGCCCACACGGAATGGTATGTTAACACGACTTCGCGAATTGGGATTAATTGGCGAATAGTAAAAGTCGTTGGAGTTATCGATAATATCGTATATCAGTTGACATCTTTCGGTGCTTCGCTTAGCCATAGCTTCAAGACCTCCGTTGTCTTTAATCCACTGAAGGAATAGTCCGCACATATAAATACTGTAAAATAAATGTCATAATTATTAGTCCATAAATATGTTTAGTTATAAGACATACGAATAAACTGGTGGTGTGTTATATAGTGAGTTGTTGTCGTCCATTATCTTGTAGTCCATAATCGATGGACAAACAGACATAGCTTTGCCGATCAAATCCTTGCGAACAATAGCTATGCCGAGTCCAGCGATACCGCAATTCTTTTGAGTTCCGGCCACAATTGCGCCGTACTTTTTGATATCAATAGGTCGGGTCAAAAAATTGGAGGTCATATCGGCCACTAGCGGCACATTTGGTAATCCTTCGGGAATGTACGGGAATTCAATTCCGTGAATTGTTTCGTTGTCCGTATAGAAAAAGTATTTTGCATTGGCGTCCAGTTTCCATTGATTTCTTTCCGGTATTTCCACATAAGCGGTCTGTTTCGGTGTCACCCGATTGACATTAGACACATATTTCTGTGCCTCTTTCAATGTCTTATCACTCCAGGCACCGGTCACTATATAATCGACAACCGAACCGTCCATAAACTGTGAAACGAGATTCATCGGTAGTGCAGCAAACTGTCCGGTACCCGAACCGTGCATCAATAAAATACTGTAGTTATCGGGTATACCTCTGATTTTGAAAAATTAAAATCCATTTATAATTTCATTTAAAAAAAATTATAGATAAATATAGTTCAACTATACATTAACAGCATAACTAATTAAATATAAATCTAATCAAACAATATATTGAATGAGACAATAGTTTTGCTGTTAATGTATAGTTATTCCGATAAATATTAGTCTTATTTAATAAGTTCTTACATTAGTTCTCTCAACAAGTTTTGAACATTTTTGACAATTGCTTCAAATTCTTGAGATCGATGGCTCATCTCTTATAATTAGATTAAATAATTTAAAAAATAAGTTATTAAAATTTTTACTAATAAATTGTGACAAATTTTTATTTAGTAATCTAGGTTTACAAATATAATTTATAGATTTATGATTTAAAATAAATTAAGATTTTAAACTACTGTTTCTGTTAAATATTTTAAAAATTTCATATTAGTGTAATATGCAAATATTTTAATATATAAATCAACATCATATATAAAAATTATATTAATTTTAATGCCATTAAATATAATATTTTGATATAAATATAATAAGTAAAATATTAGAGTATAATACTATATAATATATAGTATTATACTCTAATATTTTACTTATATAGTATATATTGAATTAAAGTTAAAGTAAGTTAACTATAAAATGATTAGCCAAAAAAATAAAATTGTACAGTATAACTAATGTAAACTTTACAAAAATATATTTTATATTCAAGGTTATAATTTACAATATGTTCAAAATTAATGGCAACAAAATTTATAATAATAAAATAATTTGAATTTATTACAAACAAAAACAATTATTATTTATTTATAATACATACCCATAATACTAATACCAGTGTTAGCGTAATGGATCAGTTCATTCTGGGCTATTTTGAGCACCTGTAGATTATTTAGAAAACAATTATTATTATTTTTTTAAATAACTAAAATATATGTTACCTCTGCTGGCAGTTTTGCCGGACCGGGAGAAAAGTTAATCACTTTTTGTTGGACAGACATTTCAAATGTTTATAACAAAAATTACTAAAAATCGGTTAACAGTTTATCAAAATTAAATTATTTATATAAAAAAATATGAATTACTATGAATTATATAAAAAAACTTTGTGTATTTATAATATTAAAAATGTGAGAAATATAAAATAAATTTCTTTTATATATAGAAGGTTATAGTGTAAGACAAAATGATTGTTGCATAATATATATATATATAAGCTCTATATAACTAACAAAAAATGTGATTATATTTAATAAATATATTTTGAAAATTAAAAATTATTTGATATTAAATAACAAGTGAATAGTAACTCAATCTCAACCTCAACAACAACAACACATATACACAACTCAACTGTAATTTACTGTTCAATAGAAAGACTTTTTTTTCACGTCATTAGACTCTCTGTCTGTTAAACAGATATTCCGGTTTTTGAGAGAAATATTGGCTAATATACTGTATAATAAACAGCAATAACTTACCCCTACTTATACAACGTTACAGAAACAAGAAAATATAATTTTTTTAAAACTATTTGTTGTTAAGTTAGTTAAACAAAGTTTATTAACAATAATATTGATTATATTATTAGATATATTTTATTTAAATTAGATTGAGTTTGAGTTATCATACAACAGATTAGTGAATAAATGTAATTTAAATGCAATAAATAAATATATTATTAACGTTGTATTTGTTGGGAAATTTAAAGAAACTTTTGGAGATACTCCCAAATATTTATTAACTATGTTTTTCAAGGTTTTCGTGTTTTAATCTGTGTTTGATTTAAATTATTTAGGAATTGAAAAAAATACACTAAATTATTATTGTATTGAAATAAATAAAACTAAATGCATGTAAATAACCAATGCAATTTAGTAAATTATATTAAATAAAACATTTTCTTTCAAATATAAAATTAAAATAATTATAAATTTCTATTAAGTTTATTTTAAAAAATTTAGATGAAGTTGAATGAATGAATTTAAATACATTATTTTGTAAAATATAATTTGAATATTTTCTAATATAGCATTTAATTATTTTTTATGTTCAATAGATAAACCATACAGTCGGGTATTTGTTAATAAAAAATAACATTATTTATACAATAGAATTGAATATTTTGTTTAAAAAATAAGTTATATTATCATGATTTTTGTTTTGAATAAAATTTTTAAATATCAAATGTTCGTTTCACCAAATAATAGCAAACAGATTATTTGATTTAATCAAAATTGTTAAAAATTTATTTAATTTTCTATTTAGATAATATGTATGTGTAGTATTACTATGTATTTTTTATTATAAATCACAACCATGGTTTTAAGGAAATAAATGTCTGGCATTTTGGGCATCTATATTATTTGTCTGCCAATTTAAATTGCTAAAAAGCAACTGTATTTATAAAAAATATCATAATTTAGTATTTTTATCTTGTTAATTAAATATACAATAAATAGATATATATTTCCAATGAGATTACTACTGTTTTTTTCATTTATTGAAAACAAATATATATATACTATATATATATACGGTATATATTTACTGTATATAATTAACTAAATACTGTACTTAGCATATATTAATATACTGTTAAATCTTGTATCCCCATATGAAAATATGTAAGTCATGGGGAATAATGCGAGTTTGTGAAAGATATAGTTTTTTATTTTGAATAATAGTTTGTTACTAGTTGTTCCATACCCTTTGAATATGTTATCCATTTACTGATTTATAATATGTAAAAATACGGTAAATGTATACAAATTCCATTTATTGTTAAACACTGTTATAACTAATTAATTACCGTAATATCTAAATATACCGGTTTTAATAAATTACTGTTAATTATCGGTCATTACAGTTCCCTATTCCCCCAATTTTGGTTTTCCCACAGATTCGTTTAATTTACCAGGGTTGTAAAAAAGCGAGTTTTTTACCTTATGAAAATGCTAGTTTTCATGTTTTTTTTATTTCCATATGAGGAAAAACACGAATTTACGGTATATGTATGAAACACATACACAATGCAAAAACATATAGACACGAACTGGTAGTTTCATGAGCTAACAGTGCGCGTAATCCATAATAGAAATCCAGAGTCAGAATATTCTCTATAGTTATGGTTGATATGAAAGACAAGTTTCAAAACATTTTGTGCCTTTCAATCGACACAATCAAGTAGTAAAACACACAATAGATTTACTATCGACTATACTATCAATAGATTGCTGTTTTGTCATAATTTTAGTCATCAACTAATATATGGCTAATCCTTGACTTTTGAAATAATAAGAAACTAATATTTCAATTAATATAGAAAATACTCTATTTATTTATCGTTCTTCTAATATAAAAATTTATATAAAAAAATAATGAACTGTTTTTTATATAACAAAAACAATAAATAAAAGTTCTAACAAACAATTGAATTCACATTAAATAAAATGCTTTGATTATAACAAAACTTTTCCAACTAATGTGTTGTTGTTTTATTTGTTATAATGGATTTTCAAATATATATATAATATTGTATATATTGTATATAAACTTTATGTAAAATTAATGGATTGTTTGAGTGTTAAGATTACAACAATATTAATGATCGTTAAGATGTTCTGATTTTATTGAAATTACTTAAAATTGTAAGTAAATTAATAAATATAATATTATTAATGAGTATAGATTTTTTAAATTACATTAAAATTATATATATATATTTGTTTATAATTAGTTATTAAATGATAACTTTTAAGAATTTTTAATAAAAAATTTCTCATAAAATTATAATCAGTTATCTTTAGTATAAATAATGTTTTAATTACTAAAATAATTATAGTAAAAGCAAATTTTAATAGAAAACAATTTTTAAAAATATTTTTTATAGCTAATTTATAATAATATACTTTACTTACTACTAAAATTAATTAAAATCATAGATATAAATAAAATATACTTTATATTGGATAAATTGTAAACTAATTATTAAACAAATGTTATAAATAAATAATAATTAATATTAAATAAAATATATAATTAGATTTGATAAATTATATTTTTATGGATTGTTAAACTTTTAATTAGACAATAACTTTTTTCAAAATAAAAAAATTACTTAGAGATCATTTATGTTTATTATATGACAAAAATAACAACTTTAACAATGAATGCGATTACTTAAACAGAAAATTAACATATAATTAAAGCATTGATCCAAACATAATATGTTAAATTTCATTAAAACAAATAACAATTTTAATTATTAATTTGTATGCATTGATGCCATAAATGTTTTAACATTTTCTCATTTATTATAGAGATTACTGATGAAAACAAAAATTAAAGTTTTATTGAAAACAATTTTCAGCTCTAATTAATAGAATTAGTATTTAAAAAAATGATTGTAAAAAACGATTTTTAAAAACAATAATATGGATTAATGTCCGGCAAAACATGTCACACATTAATGACAGTTATCATACATTGAGTGATGGATTCATCACAACATACGTGAGTCTTAACAATGACACCAATATATCGTCAACGGATACACCGGTTCTGGCAATTGACTATCAGTTGACCGATATTTATATCGTGACAATTGTCGTGCCGTTTGTTTTGTCGCTAATCATTAATATAGTGCTAATTGTGTCACTAATGCAAGCAATACATCAAAGAGACGATACGTCTTGTATCAGACGGGGACAGTCGATGCCGGTCGTCGATCTCATACTACTCATCCTCTTTATGTCGACAATTGTAAGGCTTCTCCTGAAAACCGGATTACAAGTACTTTGTTTGAAAGGTTAGTCCCGAAGGACTTGTATTTCTTATATATATATATTTTTTTTTGGTTGTTATTCTTGTTGTTATGCATTATATAAATATATTAAACCTATAGTTATTTATTAATACAGTATAAAAAAATACGAAAATATTCTTTAAGCATAAATTTTTTGGTACATTTATATAAACATTTAATTAATATACAGTATTTATTTAAAACTTTGTGTCAATACTTTTATAATATGTTTTGGTAATTAGTAGATAAACTATTTGTAAACTTTTTTAAATTGAGTTTTTTTGTTAAATTTTTTATTGTTGTTGTTATTGTTGTTATGTACTAAAGACTATTTTTATTATATTAAACTTTTTTTTGGGTCGTCATTGTGTCGAAGATTTTTTGTGCCAAAACTGTGTCTCCGATCTAATGTCAAATTGATGTCGTCTTTACAGAATTTTTTTTTGATATTTAGATATTTTTAGATTTTTTCATATTATTGATTGATTTACAATGTCTTTGAATGTTATTTTAAGTACAGTGTTTACTATATATATATATATATATATATTTATATTATTATACTATATTAGTATATATAAATATCAATAGTTTATACTCTTTATATATATTTATATATATTGTATTTTATTACATTTTTAACTAATAACACACACACACACACACACACACACACACACACACACACACACACACACACACACACACACACACACACACACACACACACACACACACATACATACATACATACATAGAGAGAGAGAGAGAGAGAGAGAGAGAGAGAGAGAGAGAGAGAGAGAGAGAGAGAGAGAGAGAGAGAGAGAGAGAGAGAGAGAGAGAGAGAGAGAGAGARAGAGAGAGAGAGAGAGAGAGAGAGAGAGAGAGAAAGAAAGAGAGAGAGAGAGAGAGAGAGAGAGAGAATAAAGATTAATTTTGTGTTAATATAATAATCTGGTTTTTTTATAAGTAGTATTAGTACATAGTATTTATTTTTAAAACAGTTAACATCAAGTGTGGGATTAATTCAATAACCGAAATTATATCAAATAATAACAAAAGTTTTAATGCTTATTAACTTTTTTTAAGTGAGATTTATATTTGGATATATTGTTGGATATACTGGGGTATATATATATACAGTGTATTTAATATAATAGAGTTATGCAATTTCGACAATTCCCGAAACTTTGATTATTTATTAAATCGTCGGGAATTTGATATTTATACAAATATGGCAACATTTAGAAAAAAAATCCCAAATAAGACAAAAAAATTTGTAAAGTTATATAAATGTTTTTCCACGAAATTTTCTAAATATTAAATGATAAAACAGTTTAATACAATAT